TCTGTTTTTCTACTGGCTCTTCTTTTTACTGTGTTGCCACTTCTGGAATGTCACATAATTGGAACAATTCAGTATGTAGTCTTTTCAGACTGGCTTCTTTCACTTAGCAATATGCAATTAAGTTTCTCCTATGTCTTTTCGTGACTGGTAGATCATTTCTTTTTATTATTGAACAATATTCTATTGAATGGATGCACTACAATTTGTTTATCCATTCACCTACTGAAGGACATCTTGGTTTCTTCCAGTTTTTGGTGATTATAAATAAAAGATTTGCATGTAGATTTTTGTGTGGATCTAAGTTTTCAAATCAAGTGGGTAAATTCCTAGAAGTGAAATTGATGTTGGAGGTAGTGTCCGGGGAGCCTTCATAGTCGGCCTCAACCTGCCCAGTCCTCTTACCAGGTTCTTGACTCTGCCACAGGAAAGAATTCAAGGGCAGAGTCACAGTAGACAGTGAGAACAAGTTTAATAAAATAGATAAGAAATACAGGTTCCGTAAGGAGAGTGCAGCATGCTGCAGGGACTGAGCAGGGCCCACACAAAGTTTAATACAAAAGTAAGTTCAGTACAGACATCAAGTCTAACACAAAATTAAGAAAAATGTAAAGTTCAGTACAAAGTGCAGGCTGGCTCAAGAGAATGAGCAGCTGCTTGCTGAAAGTAAGTTTGATACAAAGTAAAGAATACACACCTCAGCCAGCAAAGTGCAGGTTGCCTCCATGAAAGTGAGCAACAACCCCACCTTCTGCTGGGATTCGGCTTTTATAGTTTCTCCATCTAATGAATATTCAATTAAGGGAGTGGTTCCCAGTTATGTAACATTTAGTCTTGCACATAATTAGTCTCTTTCTGGAACACGTTCATTGGTCAGACCTTATCACATGCACCAGGCATATTCAAGAATACTCTGTGTTCTCTATTGAGCATGCCCAGCCACTGGGTTTGCATAAACCAGCCCCTTGTGGTCTCATTTTCCCTTGTGTTGGTGCTAAAAGTAGATCTAACTGGGAACAGTAACTTTCCTCCAGGGGAGAGCTCAGAGGAGGGGGCCTGAGACCTCAGGGAAACCCAGAAGCTGGAAACCCAGAAGCATGTCCTGAAACCTGAACCCAGGGAAACTGAGCACCTCCTATATCAAAATGACTGCTATGGGCTGGATCACAGATCCCTCTGCCCCATCCTGTCTAGGCCATGAGTCAGGTAGTTGGAAAAAGGTTCTGGCAGTCTTAGCACAATAGACATGCTTTATTCCAATATGAGCTCTGCCGGCCAGTGGTTCAGAACTGTTGTCTTTTATACTACAAGTACACAATAGTGGCAACAAGCCAAGGAGTACATGGGCACACATGCTCAGTTGTGCTACTCTTATATAACTTGTTTACAGTGAATGTGCTAAAATGTGCTGAATCATGTCCTGCCTGATATGAGGTGAGGGAGCCTGATTAAACTGTTTCTATTTTCCTCACAACTGCTATAGGTAAGGTGTCATTTCTTTCTTTGTACATTCAAGATTTTTTTCCTTGTCTTTAGTTATCAGAAATTTGAGTATGATACGTCTTAGGGTGGATTTTCCTTGGATTTATCATGTTTGAGGTTTGTTCAGTTTCTTGAATCTCTAGGTTTATGGCTTTTGCCAAATTTGGGAGCTTTCAGACATTATTTCTTTGAATACTTGTTCTGCCTCACCTTCTTTCTCCTCTTCCAGTATTCTGATGACACAATGTTACATTCTTTTCCAGTCCCACAGGTCAGTTTTCTTCAATCTATTTTTTCTCTGTTGTTCAGACTGTGTAATTTCAATTTTGTTTTCAGGTTCAATGATTCTTTCCTCTGTACTTTCCATTCTGCTGTTGAGCTCATCTGTTGAGTTATTTTTAAGATTTTGGTTATTGTTTGTATAAGTTTTCTGGCTAGTGTAACAAATTACCACAAACTGGGTGACTTAAAACAACAGAAATTTGTGTAGTTCTGGAGGCCAGAAGTCCAAAATCAAGGCGTTGATTGACTTTTCATTTTACTAATTGTTTTCTTTTTGTGCAGAAGCTTTTTAGTTTGATGTAGTCCCACTTGTTTATTTTTGCTTTTGTTGCCTGTGCTTTTGGTGTCCCATCCAAAAGATCACTGTAAAGACCATTGTCAAGGAGCTTGTTTACTGTTTCTTTCCCTAAGAGTTTATGGTTTCAGATCATATGTTTAAGTCTTCAAGGCATTTTGAACTGATTTTTGTGTATGGTATATGAGAGATATACAATTTCATTCTTTTTGTATGTGGATGTCCAGTTTTCCAACCCCAATTTTATCTATCTATCTATCTATCTATCTATCTATCTATCTATCTATCTATCTATCGATCGATCTATCTATCTATCTATCTATTTATATTGGTTGTGAATATTCATGAGATACAAAGCTGATTGTCACCCCTCATGCCCAAAGTGTGAAGGTCAGATCCATACCAGCAGCATGCACCTTACCACAAATTGTGTTTGTACCCCATGCCCTCCACCCAACTTTGTATTCCAAGGTATGTCCTCTCTCTCTCTGCAAGTCCAATGCACCACAGTGGACTTTCTTTCCTTCCTTCTTTCTTTCTTAGCTCCCACTTATGAGTGAGTACATGTGGTATTTATCCCTCTGTGCTTTGCATATTTCACTCAACATAAGTTTCTCCAGGCTCATCCATGTTGTTGCAAATGGGAGAATTTCATTCTTTTTTATGGCAGAGTAGTATTTCGTGGTGTATGTATACCACATTTTCCTTATCCAATCATCCATCAATGGACATTTAGGTTGGCTCCATGTCTTGGCTATTGTAAACAGCGCTGTGATGAACATGGGAGTGCAGGTATCCCTTCAATGTGATGATTTCCATTTCTCTGAGTATACACCCAGAAGTGGGATTGCTGGATCGTATGGAAGATCTATCTGTAGTTGTCTAAGGAAACTCCATACTGTTTTCCGTAGTGGTTGTACTAATTTACAGTCCCACCAACAGTGCAGGAGCATTCCCTTCTCTCTGCACCCTCACCAGCATTTGTTATTCACCGTCTTTTTGATTATAGCCAGTCTAACTGGGGTGAGATGGTATCTCAGTGTAGTTTTAACTTGCATTTCCCTGATGATTAGTGATGTTGAGCATTTTTCCATGTACCTGTTGGCCATTTGTATGTCTTCCTTTGAAAAATGTCTATTCAGCTCCTTTGTCCATTTTTAAATTGAGTTATTTGTTTTTTTACTGCCAAACACCATTTATTGAAGAGACTGACTTTCTTCCATTGTGTATTCTGGGTGCCCTTGTTGAAAATTAGTTGACCATATATGTGTGGATTTTTTTCCTAGGCACCCAGATCTGTTCCATTGGTCTATGTGTCTGTTTTTATGCCAGTTCCATAATATTTTGATTACTATAGATTTGTAGTATGATTTGAAATCAGGAAATATGATGCCTTCAACTTGGTTCTTCATTTTTAAGATTGCTTTGGCTGGGCTGGCCAGTTAGCTCAGTCGGTTAGAGCATAGTGTTATAACACCAAGGTCAAGAGTTTGGGTTCCAAACTGGCCAACCACCAAAAAAAAAAAAAAAAAAGATTGCTCTGTCTATTTAGGGTCTTGTGGTTCCATACGAATTTTAGTATAGTTTTTTTCTATTTCTGTGAAAAACGCCATTGGAATTTTGATAAGAATTGCCTTGAATCTGTAGATCACTTTGGGTAGTATGGATATTTTAACGATATTAATTCTTCCAATCCACGAACACGGGGTATATCTTTTCATTTATTTGTGTCTTCTTCAATGTCTTTAATCAATGTTTTATGGTTTTCAGTGTACGAAAGAAGCACTACAGATATTTGTATGTTGATATTGGATTTTTTTTTTTTTTTTGGCTGCTAGCCGGTCTGGGGATCTGAATCCTTGACCTTGATATTACAACACTGCTTCTAAGTAACTCAGCTAACTGGCCAGGCTGTATGTTGATTTTGTATCCTGCAACTTTGCTGAATTCATTTATTAGTTCTAACAATTTTTTGGTGGAGTCTTCAGGATTTTCTACGTATAGAATCAATTGCTGCTGCAAACAGAGACAATTATTTTGGCTTTTACATTTAGATCTTTGATCCATTTTGAGTTAATTTTTGTATATTATGCGAATTCAATTTTATTCTTTTTATGTGGAAATCCACTTTTCTGAGCACCATTTGTTGAAAGGACTGTCCTTTCACCATTGAATGGTCCTGGCACCCTTGTAAAAAATCATTTGACCACCAGGTTTATTTCTGGGTTCTCTATTCCATTCACTTGGTCTATATGTCTGTCTTTATGCCAGTGACATGTTTTGATTACTGTAGCTTTGTAATAAGTTTTGAAATTGGTTAAGTGTGAGTCCTCCAATTTTCTTCTTCGTTTGGCTGTTTCGGGTCCCTAGAGATTCCATATGAAATTTAAGACAAATTTTTCTATTTCTGTAAGAAACATCACTGGGAGTTTAATAGGGATTGCATTAAATCTGTGCATCACTTTGGGAGTATTGACATCTTAATAATATTAGGTCTTCCAATCCATGAGCCGTTTGTACTTTTAAATAGAATGTATTGGTGTATTATTTGTGTAATAAAACATAAATAAATTTTTAAAAATAGTTTGCAGAAGAAACTAGTAAATCTCTCATGTCAGTTCATGTAACTTCACTGGATCTCACTGGATCTCAGTTACCAATTTTTAAAAATTGACATCAGTTCTGGGGGGAAAGCATAAATTAGATATCAGGGGAGAAATAATTATTTGACTACAGGTGTTCATGAAAAGAAAATGTTTATGTCTTAGTAAGTTAAATTATTTGCTGATGACAAATCGGTTTATTTAGACATTTAATGACATTACCTGAGGTCAGATATAATTTTATCTGGCTTGTTTTGGTCACACTGAAATAAATTTTAGTCTCATTGATCAAAAATCAGTTCTTCTATTCACACTGCTTAAAATTGTGTCTCATTGAACAGAGAATCTGTTGGGTTTTATTTCCTGAAGATTATCTGTGAACATTTTAAGTCATCAGAAAATATTGGAAAAGCTCTACTGCTCCACATTGACATGCTTTTACAAAGGAAGGAAGACCTGCTTGCCAAGGAGAAGATTGAAGAAATCATTTTAGGTCAGTAGGATTTCTGCAGGTGTTTTAGAAAGGCATTAATCTGCATATAATTCTAAGATAGATGTCAGAACAGTAGCAAAATCCTCAGGTCAACAGATTTCTCCCACTTTCCTTTTTTTTTCGTCGTAATGATCTTTAACAGTAACATGTCACCTGTCCAGATTCCACACATTTGGCAAGCTAGAATGAGAAACTAAGGAAAAATAACAAAACATCACCAGAAACAAACTTCTAAGTTTAAAGCTTATGTATACTGGAAAATTGTGAGATTACAAGTCTAATTTAATTTCCCCAGTTTGATCTCAAATTAGCTCTGTGCCTTTAGGTAACTCAGTATCTCTGGACCTTGTTTTGTTTTTGTTTTTTAACTATAAAACAAGGATTGTGAACTAAATTCCTGGCTTTTAAACTTTTTTTTTTTAGCAGCAGCGTCCTTTTACAATGCAATCTTCTATGAACTCCACCACGAATAAAATAGATCAGAGTTTCTCTGGTTAAAGCCGGGGTATAGAACCAAATCTGTTCAGCATTCCACTAATCCTTCACCTCTCTTGCAAAGCCTCTATACCCTAAAGAACACAGATAGTATGATCCCTTTCTTAGAAATTCTCTCCGCTACCTCATTCTTCTAAATCTACACATGTACAGAGATATAACTGGAATGATAGTCACTAAATATTACCACTGGGCTTTATTCTGAGTGGTAGCATTTTAGGTGATGTGTTGCTTTCTTTTTAATCCTTTACTGTATTGCCTGAATTTTTATAAGTATGCATCATGCTTTTATACAAACAAAATCATTAATATTTTTAGAAGGAAATCATTTGACTAGATGATCCCTATGAGCCTTTTGAACTTTAGATTCTATGAACCATATTTTATTGATGACACCCTCCCTCTAGATCTTCATTAAGAATCCAATTACTTTTAAACCCAGTTTTGATAAGCTTGGTTATCTTATTTTCCAACTCTTAGCATTTTAATGGTAGCATATTACAAGTAGAGAAATGGTCCACAGGGAAATATACAGGTTAACCTGACCGTAAGGGAGGGCGAAAACTCTACAGATTTTATAAAACTGATTTAAATATTTTAAAGAATACAGCAATCTGTACTATATAATCTCAAAGGCATCACTGTGCTATATTAACAGTACAGTGAAATATAATAGTTGTTAGTGTTGTTGACCTTGAATTGTCAAGAAAAAGTTAAGTTCAGCTTTACAAAACTGGAAAGTATGTTTAGTTTTTAGAAAATTTAAGAAAATTTTACGTGAAAAGATTTAGACTTTTAAAACTTTTTTTAATAAAAAAGTTTTGTATTTAAAAAAGGAAACTGTCGGGCCGGCCCAGTGGCGCACTGGATAGTGCGCCGCTTGAGAAGTGCGGCGGCGCTCCCGCCCGAGGGTTCGGATCCCACATACAGACCGGTTCCCGCTCACTGGCTGAGCGAGGCGCGGGAGCAACACCGAGGGTTGTGATCCCGTTGCCGGTCCCCGGTCCCGTGCGGGGGCAACACTGAGGGTTGCGATCCGTTGCCGGACACGGAAAAAGACAAAAAAAAAAAAAAAAAAAAAAAAAAGGAAACTGCAACCAAACAAAAAAACTTGTTTAAACAAAAAAACCCTTTTTCCTAAAATTCCAGTTAAAAAAATTTTTTTTTTTGGTGAAAGTTTTCTTTTTTTTTTTTTTTTTTTTTTTTT